AGAGAACATGAGGAAGACCCCCAATGAAATGGATTGGCACAGTGCCTGCTGCAATGGGCTCACACGTAGCAATGATTGTGAGGTTGGTGCAGGACCAGGCAGTGTTTTGTTCTGGTGTGTGTAGGGTCACAATGAGCTGGTGCTGACTCAATGGCACCTAACAACAACATGGGCTTCTGGGTCCCATGGTCAAGAGAAGGTGTGAATAGTTTCCCAGCTGTGACCATGACAGACAAGTGACCAGCAGACCCAACCCTCCTTTCCAGGACTGTATCATCCCTAGAGTCCTGGGCAGAGAACAGAGACTTGGGAAAGGATGGTTGTGGCTGGGTGCAAGGAGACCCGAGTCAGATTTGAATCAGAGAAATCAAAAACATCTCATGTGAGAAGCAGTTCATACATTACTGCAGCCTGCTAGGCCTTCCACACCAGGTGGTGGGGGCCTCAGGACACTGTGGCAGGCCACACTTAATGACTCCCTTAAGTCCCACATGGAGGGAGCTCAGAGCAGTTGTAGGCCCTTACCAGTCTCCTGCTATCTGTCCAGGACTCTCTGCCCACCCCAGGCCAGCCTTCCCCGGCCTGGTGTCTGGGGATTTAGCAGGATTAGTGAAAATCCAGGGGTTTGAGCTGGGTTTATCAGAGGCGCCACTCTAAGAGCCTTGGGGGTGGTTTGGCACTGGATACCTCCGGCTATGTTCTCGTCGCCTCAGAGAGCTTACTCCTACCTTGGCTGGCTGCCCGCTTCTCTGCTTGGTCCGGCAGGTGGGCTAAAGGGTGGGCAGGCAGCCAGCCTTGTGGATTGTGGACCTAGAACAGGGTGTGTGGGCAGAAGTGAGGCCTAGGGGCTGCTGGGTGGAGCCAGAATTCTGTTGTGGGACTTGGGTCAGACCTGTGAACTGTAAGGCTCAATCCCAGTTACCATTGACCTTGGAGAACAAGGTGTTTGTATGTAGGTACAGGTAGAAGGAAGAAGGAAAATTGAGGGTGAGGGAAGGGGAGCCTGATGGTTTGGGTAGGAAGCTGAGTAATAGGTGGGGTGCTCTTCATGTGACTAACAAGACATCCCCTTGCTTGAGTACACACTGGGCTCTGGAGTAGCAGTGAGGTCATCATGCTGTTTGTGAGGGTGTGGCTGAGTTAGAAACTGGGCATCCTGCCCTGTGTTCCTAGTTACTCATAGTCAATCCATCCAAACTCGATTAGAATCTGAATGACTGGGGACTTTGGGGCCTAGTCACCAGGTCCACACACCAGGACCTCACTGTGTGACCTTAGGAAGTCCCTCCACCTTTGTGCCTCTGTTTCCCTGAGTCTATGGGGAGATGAGGTGATGGGTGACAGGTGTGAATGCATCTGTGGGTTATGTAGTGCTGTGGATGATGACTGTCCACCTAGAACATCTGGGAGAATTCACCTGAACTCTCCAGAAGGTGGTATCGGGAAGGGGTGAGTGTCACGCAGCAGGAGTGTCCTCCACACCCGTGCCACTGTAGCAATGTAACCAAGGGGAAAAGATCCCATTTATAAAGGAGCTCTGGTAGTGTAGAGGGCTGCGAGACTCAAGGTTCGATACCACCAGCTGTTCCATGGGAGAAACATGAGGCTTTCTGCTCCTGTAAAGATTTACAGCCTCAGAAACCCTGTACAGGGTCGTTATGAGTCGGAACTGACTCCACAGCACATAACTACCACCACCAAAACTAGTCAAGAGTCCTGGTGTGGCACTGTACGATAAACATTGGACTGCTAACCATAAGGTTTAAACCCACTTAGGAAACCCTATACAGGGT